TTAAGACAAACAAATAAAAAAATCATTGTCAGGGCTACAGATGGTTTTTATGATAAAGGACAACTGATATTTTCTATTTAGTTAAATGAATACCCTTCACATTCACCTGACTGAATTCACCACTCAGCCTGGACTGACACCGCTTCTGCTTGGGAACAACCCTCCCTGAAAGCCCCAAACCACTCTTAAGAGGCACGGTGTCCTTTTGCAGAAGAATTTTGGGCTCAGTGCCAGTGGCTAGATGCTATCTACCAGTTTGCAAAATGAGTTCCTTGAGACCATAAAAAACACTAATAACAACCAGAATGAGAAGCCAGCTTTGGTCTTGTTTTGATTTTGCTAAAGAAAAAGATCTTCAGCAAAGCTTCCTTACAGAGAGAAAATGGAATCAATGAGTTGTGAGTACATTTTTTTTTCCCCCCACGGGGCTTGAACTCAAGGACTGGGTGCTGTGAGCTTTTTTGCTCAAGGCTAATGCTCTACCACTTTGGAACCACAGCTCCACTTCTGGTTTTCTGATCCATAATTAGAGATGAGTCTCTCAACACTTTCCTGCCCGGTTTGGCTTTGAACCATGATCCTCAGATCTCAGCCTCCTGAGTAGCCAGGATTACAAGTGTGAGCCACTGGCACCCAGCAAGTGCAGAATATTTTATTAGGTGATTAAAAGAGATTTTGCAAACATGTATTTCCTGTATGTTGAAACTGGATTGTCTTGATGTTAAAGGTCTTCAGTGTAATCTTTAGTATATCAGGGTATCGCAGAAATGTCATAAGAGAGAAAAAGAAAAAGGAAGGAAGAAGGAAGGAAAAAGAAAGATGTTAAGATATTGAGAGCTTATATTTTTAGCATTTTAGATGCATTGTCACAGCTTTTCCTCATTAGGGAGTAAATATTTTTATGGATGAAGAAATTAAGGCTTGGAGACCTTAAACAACTTGTCAGGTTCCTCAGGAGAGCTGAAGTTCTATCCTCAGAGGGGGGGTCTGATAGATAGTTGGCTTTTGGAACCAACATGGCACCCTGGATTACATTAGTCATTTATAAGAATTTGATGGTTTCATGGGCATTTTTAGAAAAGTTGCCACTTGGGCTCAGTGATAGAGTGCTTGCCTAGCAAGGTTCCATCCTCAACACAAAAACAAGCCAAATAAAAATTAGCATCCACACAAGACATTTTTGTTTGTGTCTTCTCAAAGTCAAATGCATGTGTGTCTTGGATGAGGAAGTAGACTTTATCCAGGTGTGTGTGTGTGTGTGTGTGTGTGTGTGTGTGTGTGTGGTGTGTCCCTCCACATGCTTATCAATCCTAGAGCTTGAACTCATGTGTGTGTGTGTGTGTGTGTGTGTGTGGTGTGTCCCTCCACATGCTTATCAATCCTAGAGCTTGAACTCAGGGCCTGGCACTGTCCCTTAGCTTTTTCATTCAAGGCTGGTGCTCTACCAACCATTTAAGCGATAGCTCCACTTCTAGCTTTCTGTTGCTTAATTGGAGATAGGAGTCTAAAGGACTTTTCTTCCCAGGACAGATTTAATCGGTGATCTTTTCAGGGGTGGGCTTCCCACCAGGAATTTTTTTTAATTGTAAAAATACCATACAGAGAGGTTACAATTACACGGGCAAGGTAATGAGTCCATTTTTTTTCAAGCATTGTTGCCTCCTCCTTTGTTTCCCCTTCCCATTCCTTCCCATTTCCCACCCAACCCCTCCCCCCCCAGGCCAAAGTTGTAAAGTTCATTTTTTGACATAACAACTTGTACATCTCATTGTTGCAATGGGTCCACCTGTATCCCTATTCCCACCAGGAATTTTAAAAAGTAGAAGACAGAGCTAGACGCTGGTTGCTCATGCCTGTAATCCTAGCTACCTCAGGAGGCTGAGATCTGAGGATCTCAGTTCAAAGCCAGCCTGGGCAGGAAACGACATGAGACTTTTATTTCTAATGAACTACTCAAAAAAGCTGAAAGTAGCACTGTGGCTGAAGTGGTAGAATGCTTGTCTTGAGCAAGAGAAGCTCATGGACAGCACCCTGGCCCAGAGTTCAAGATGCAGGACCAGAAAAAAAAAAAAAAAGTAAAAGACAAACAACAAGCCACAGGCAAGAGTCTTTGTTTTGCCAGTGGAGCTGTTTATGTGTTAAACATTACATTGCATGCTATGGTATTTGCTGAGTTTTGCACAACCGCAGCCATTTAAATGGACTCTCTAATCATGGTGACAATGACTGGGATTAGCTGAGTTCCATGGAGTTCCCCAAAAGGCTTCTGTCTAGGGCCCAGGTTTTCTGTTAGGGACAAGTTAACTAACGAGGCTGGGTGTTCTCCACCCAACTCTTCAAGGGATAGCCAAGGGCTCTGGCCACACAGAGGAGAGTCACAGGAGTAAGTGTGACCTTCCACACAATGGGGGACTGATGCTTTGGCTGTTTCTTAGGTAAGTGAGAATCAGACAACCACAGGAAGGTAGGTGTTCTAACACAACTTGTCCAGCACTGTTCATGTCACCCAAACAGTGCAAAAAATGTTCATAATAATAGAAGTATGCGCAGTAGCCAAAGGGCATCAACAGTTCCCAGGGTCATGAACAGATGGGTTGATGGACATTCTATGGGGTCACTGTGTGATGGATGGAACATTCCAGAAGGTGATGTGAGAACTGGCCTCATGGGGAGAACCTTTATAACATTCTTGTGCGTGTGTGTGTGTGTGTGTGTGTGTGTGTCTGTGTGTGTGTGTGTTAGTGGGGCTTGAAGTCAGGGCCTGGGCACTTTCACTTGGCTTTTTTACTCAAGACTGACACTTTACTTCAGTCATACCTCTGCTTTCCACTTTTTTTTTTGCTGGTGAATTGGAGATAAAAGTCTCAGGGACTTTTATTGCCTGGGCTGGCTTTGAACCACAATCCTCAAAGATCTCAGTCTCCTGACTAGCTAGGATGACAGGCTGAGCCACCAGTGGCCAGCTACAACACTCAAGTATAAGTACAAGACATGACAGGCCACATGGAAGTATGGTCCCATTTACACAAAATACCCTGGCCAGGAAGACAGACAGATTAGTGGGTGGGGTGGGGTGAGGGTGGAGGGGAATCATGAATGGGTCCAGAGCTTCCTTCTGGGGCTCTGGGAACTTTGTGGAACTGGATAATGGTGGTGACTGCACAACGTTCTTGAATGTACCTCATGCATGATGCTGAACCATTTAAAATGCTTAGAAGGGCACATTTTACATGACATTGTCTCTTACCAGAAAAACTACACAGCCGTTGGGATGACAGGTGACTCAGATGGAAGTGTTGTAAGAGGTGAGGTCGTCCCATCTCCCAAACTAAAATTACAGAAGAGGAAGAGGCAGGCTGTGTGCTGACGAAAAACAAAAGGGAAGGAGGTTGGGAGCTGAGGGGAATATGGGGGGGATGGGACCCAGTCTTGACTCAAACCAGCCCTTTTGGGGCCTGTGTTAGTGTCCTGGGGAGGTGGATGTGTGGGTCTTTAAAAAGGTAAAACTTGAGAGCCCAAGTTTGGCCTCTCATAGAATTCCAGTGACTCCAGCAGGAAGCTCAGGACTTGGATGGCTAGTGTGTGTGTGTGTGTGTGTGTATCACATTTTCTCGATCCATTCATCTACTGAGGGGCATCTGGGTTGGTTCATATCTTAGCTATGGTAAATAATGCTGTAATAAACATGGTTGTGCTGGTAGCTTTGTTATGACCTTGTTTATGATCGTTTGGGTAAATGCCCAAAAGTGGGATTGCTGGGTCATAAGGGAGCTCTATGTGGAGTCTTTTGAGGAACCTCCATACTGCTTTCCAGACACTCACAGATTCTTATAGATCTTGTTGTCCAATAGAATAAGGCACCAGTAAAAACACTTGAAATGCAGCTATCCAAAATGGTGTTAAGTTAAAAAAAGTGCCATGTGCCTTAGCATTGAAATGACAAAAGCTCTGTGATACTGCAGTTAAAATAAGGTACATTATTGTGTGTGTGTGTGTGTGTGTGTGTGTGTGTGTGTGTGTGTGTTCTAGCTTGGCTTTTTCAACTCATGGCATTCCACTTGACCCAGCCCCCCCCCCCATTTTTGGCTTTTTACTGGTAAATTGGAAATCAGAGTCTCTTGGATTTATCTGTCTGGTCTGGTTTTGAGCTTTGATCTTCAGATTTCAGCCTCCTGAGTAATTAAAATGACAGAAGTGAGCCACCAGCACTCAGCTAAGATAGACTTTTTTTTGGGGGGGGTCCAGTCGTGGGGCCTGAACTCTGGGCCTGGGCACTGTCCCTCAGCTCTTCAGCTCAAGGCTAGTGCTCTACCATTTGAGCCACAGCGCCACTTCCAGCTTTTTTCTTTTTGCTTATGTGGTGCTGAAGAATCGAACCCAGGGCCTCATGCAAGCACTCTACCACTGAGCCACCTTCCCAGCCCCTAAGATACACTTTTAAAAGCCATCTCATCCTGTGGTTTCTCTTCAGACTATATAAATCTTTGGTTGTTGAGAAGCAGTCTCACCTGCTTATTTTTAGTTTTTAAAAGGACATTGAGGAAATGAAAAAGTATACATGACTCCGTTATATTTCCATTGATGGCACAAATCTAGAATATTCCCAGGTTACCATTCTTATGTCAGTGTTCATACAACCCCATTTAAACTCAAATATAGCATGTAGATAATTGACAACAGTGATTCATTGAGACTCAAAAGTGCATCCAGTTGGGGTGGAGACGTAGCTCAGTGGTAGAGTGCTTGCTAAACATGGGCAAAGCCCTGGGCTGGATCCCCAGCACTGCAGAATACAAAATAAATAAATAATGGTAGAGTTCCTACCTAGCAAATTTGAGGCCCTGAGTTCAAGTCCTAGTACTGTCAAATAAATAATAAATAGTACATCTGCTTGGTGTGTAAAGTTTTTCCACGTGTCATTAGTGTGCTACAATGTAGAACTTTGTTAAAAATAAAAATACAAAGAGAGGAGTATTAAAGTTTTCTGGGGATCTTTGCAGGTACGTTGCGATCCTGAGATTCAAGAGCTTCGTCAATGGCAGAAGAAACTCCGTGAAGACAAGCACATTCGCCAGCGGGTGCAAATGTTCTGGGCCAAACAAGAGCAGAAAGGTCAGTTGCACGGTTCCCAATCCTTAGTTTATTCCCTCATGTGAAGCTCTCGAAGGTGGGAGGTTTCTTAAGGCCGTTGGTCTGCACGGAAGTCACTGTGGATGCAGAAGAAGCTGTGTGCATCAGGACTCTGTTCTAGAACGATGGTTGGCATAACATACTTTGCTTGCCCGTGTCCCTTCCTCAAGGACAACTTCAATGTCACCTTGTGTCTGTAGGTTTTTACTTTTTTTTTTTAAGCTACACAACTAACCCATCATTTTGAAAACACAGTGTCTAGCAACATGATAGGTAGGTAGTCATTCTAAGTTGTCGATTGTGTCTGAATTTAAATAGTATTTAGTGCTTGTCTTTTCCTTTGTGATGGTTAATTTTATGTGTCAATTTGACTGGGTCTCAGGATGCCCAAAGAGCTGGTAAATGTTATTTCTGGGTACAGCTGGGAAGTTATTTCCAAAACTTGACTTTTAACTGGGGTACTGGATAAAGTGAGGGCCCCTCCACAGGTCTATCATCCATTCTGTTGAGGCAGAGAACAGTGGTTGGATTCCCACTGCCTATCTGAGCGGAATGCTAGACTTTACCAGGCCAGGGGCTCCTATGTCTCAGCTTCCAGACCTGGGCTGGACATGTGGGGAACAGCTGGGGGGACTTTCTGCCTCCATTGTGAGCCAGTACCATATTATAACAAATGTCTTCCTTATACCTAATATTCTTCTTCCTTTTTAATATAAACAGGTAATCTCTAATTATTTCACTGGAAAGCCCTAATTAACCTCCCCATCCTTTGAGAAGAAGAAGAAACAGAGAAACTTATGACACACAAAATACAAAGAATAGCAAAACAAGGGATGTGAGGGCGATCTGGCTGCCACATCTGCCACTCCATTGATCTCCAGGGTTGATTTGGCTGATCTGGCTGGCTGGATGGGTGTCCCCGTCCTCCCTTTCTGCTCCATGTGAGTCCCTCCCAAAGTTGCGCACTTGGTCAAAGAGGACGACCATCCCCGATAGAGGAGGACCGGTCTTCTGTCAAGGGTATACGAGTAGCTGCGTTCCCTGCTAGAACCTCCAAACAAGTTCTCAAAACAAGCACTCAACACCCGCTAGGCTTATGTGTCCCTAGTGTGTCCTACTTGCTATCATTCTTTTTACTTTTTGTGTGCAGGTACCGGGGCTTGAACTCAGGACCTCTTGCTCTTGCTTGTTTTTTTTTCTGCTCAAGGTTGTCACTCTACCACTTGAGCCACAGCTCCATTTCCAGCTTTCTGCGGGTTAACTGTAGATAAGAGTCTCATGGACTCCACCAGACGTCTGAGTCTGCAGCTCTGGCTCACAATCCCAGTTTTGCGAATTCTTGGTTGTATATTTATCTGTTCATAGTTGATCTTGAGCATCCTACTCAAGTGGAACCTGCATGGGGAGATCCAGCTTTGCCTGTCTCACTTCCTTGACTTGTGCCTAGTCCTGGTCAACACAGAACAAAAAGGGATGAATGTGTGAATGGGTGAGTGGATGGATGGATGGATGGATAGATGGTAGGTGGGTGGATAGATGGATGATTGGATGGGTGAATGATGATGGGTGTATGATGGATGGACAGATGATGAATGATGGGCAGATGATGGATGGATGGGTGTATGATGATGGATACATGAGGAATAGATGATGGATGGATGGATGGATGGGTGAACGATAGATGGATAATGGATAGGTAGTTGGATGAGTTAGGAGGTTTAAACGAGCCACTGTGCAGGAAGTGCCTGCTACAGGGCAGGAGCGCAGTCATTGGCAGTCTGTGTGCCCTGTAAAGAAGCAGGGTGAGCAGTCACTGCTGTTTGCCTGGCTCAGCCCTGGTCCACTCCATGCACAACTGCTACTTCATTTCACTTGGATGTTGGAAGACAGTGCTGTAATCAGTCAGAAGGTCAAAGGAAGTGCAGTGGGCTTATGATGGCTATTTCTCTGTGTTCTCTGGGGCTGATGTGCTGCAGGCTGATGGATGGAGTTGGCTGGCTTTGAAGCAGGAAGAGGAGATGGGACTGGATGTGGTTATCAGCTTACAGGGAGCAGAGAGCAAGCAGTCCCATTCCAGCCAGGGGCCAATCTTTGCCACCAGAGGCTCCACCACAATGTGTGGTCTTGAGGAAATGCAAGTTGGTGAAAGCCTGGGACACAGTCCTGGGACAGACAGACAGATAGACAAGAAAGAAGGGGGGGGGGAGAAAGAGAGAGAGAAAAAGACTGAGGTCAGGTGAGGAGGAAGCTGTGTCTGGGTGCAGCTCAGTGGTTGTGCCCTTGACTACCTCATATACATACATGCATGTATGTACATGTGTGCATGTGTGCACACACATATCAGCACACATGAGTGGACAATGACCAGATGTTTGAACTATACATCTATGCACATCACCTTTACCTAGACAACCTCATGAAGCCTCAGTGTCCCCAGAGGTTAAAGGATCCAGAAGCTGGTCTTTGCATGGGTCCCAGCTCAGAGGACACTCTGTGCCTTCACTGTCACAACCGTGTTAGGAAGCTGTCTGTGTGTCACAGCAGTCTTGTGTTGGTTTCCTCTGAGAGACTCTGAGCAAGCAGAGTTGTTGGAGGGGTTCATCATGTTGCCCCAGTGCCCCTTTTCCTTCCTCCCACAGCCCAGCCCACAGCAGGGGGTCTGTACATCCAGATTAAGGGGATGAAGATCTGGGCTTCATTCTGCATAAGAATGAAGACAGGAGCAGGAAGGTCAAGGGACTTACCCAGGGTCACACAGCAGTGGCAGGCTAGGGCTCCCCTCTGCCCTTTCCCTGTGCCGTGTTGTAACGTAGCTTCTGCAGGGACAAGCCACTCTCTGGTTTGTTGTTCTTTTGTGGTGCTGGGGGTGGGACCCAGAGCCTCATGCATGCTTAGCCAGGGCTGTACCATAGAGCTATGTCCCCAGCCCAAAGTGGTTTGTGAACCACTCCTATTCTCCCACAGATCTACCCTTTGCAGGAAATTCCACCAACAGTGAACTGCTTATTGTCTGGGCATTGAGGTTTTTTTCTGTTTATATCTTCAATGACTGAGACCAGTTGGTAAGGGTGAATTATACTAACTGGGTGACATAGAAGTGTGGGCTTCTTAAAGTTCCACAGAGCTGAGCAGGGCACTGGTGGCTCACGCCACACCTGGCTGAATATATTTTTGGTTTTTTTTCAACTTCATTTTTTAAAAAATCACAAAAACTCAAACTTGTCTGCATACAAATCCAATATACAAACATCATTTTAGGCTGCTGCTGTTGTACTCTGGTATTTATATTAGAAAAAGTTCTTTTTTTTTTTTTTGAGCAACCTTGGTGCAGACAGGTGGTCTAAGGAGAGGAATGTCAGCTGTTGGGACAGAATTCCGGTCATATATAACCAGTCTCATGTTACACTGAGTCAGGCTGCCATCCCAAACAGTATTTTCTTGTAGGACAGAATGGTATGAAGTTATCTTCCAGTCTCTAGCCATCGGGACAGATGCTTAAATTATTTTTAAATGTGTGTGTTAAAACGTTCAGCCAGTGCAATTAAAAAGATGTCTAAGTCATGTTGGCGATCTTGTAAAAAATTCTGCCTCAGCCAGGCACTGCTGGCTTATGCCTGTAATCCTTGATATTCAAGAGGCTGAGATTTTAGGACTGAGATTCGAAGCCAGTGTGGGTAGGAAAGTCCATGAGACTCTTATGTCCAATTAACGACCAAAAAGCCAGAAGTGGAGCTGTTGCTCAAGTGTTAGAACACCAGACTTGAGTGAAAAAGCTTAGAGACAGTGCCCAGACCCTGAGTTCAAGCCCCAGGATCAGTGCGTGCACGTGCATGCATGCATGTGTACACACACACACACACACACA